ATCCTTCGCCTCATAAACAGACAGACCGACAGACACACACACACAGAGAGAGAGAGAGAGAGAGAGAGAGAGAGAGAGAGAGAGAGAGAGCGCGGAAGAACGTGTGGGTACACGTATGAACGACAAAGGCTTCGTCGAGTCGATTTCTACATTCCTCAACAGCGCGCGTGTAAAGCGCGCTCCTTAACTTTCATTCATAATTGTTCATTCACTTTTATGACGCCCTGTACTTAAGGAATTATATTCCTTAATAAGCTTTCTTGCGGCTTATTCAAAAGTCTTTGAATTCAGAGTCACATTTTCTGGGCGATTGGCATTAAAAATTAATATTTCAACTATACTTCTTCTTGTGCTGCGTTTTCTTAATTTTATAAGTATTTTCTTGTTCGGTAAATAAATCGTGCACAATTAGAAATCGCTGCTCATCATAGGCTAAAAGAAAATAGCCGATGATGAGTCGATGAAAGTAATTGTATAATTTTTCATATAAGACTTATATGTTGGTTAATATTATGATTTTAAGCATTAAAATTAAAATAACATCGAAGTAGAAATAGCTCTGTTTTTGTTTTGTTTTGTTTTGTTTTTGTTTTTGTTCTCGTTTTTAATATATTTAAACAAAATTGGAATATTACGATAATTTATATAAAAACCAAGTAATCTTGCTTATTAACGATAAATATGTGTATTTTATATTCTGCTCGATACGATTCTTCTATTGCCGTATTTCAATTACAGAAATATTGAACACAACTATATTTAAGAGTTTATGAATCACGTTGATTGGTATAAGGCTACAAGGCACTAATTAACGAGTTATTCAGTAATATAAATGTTATTCGAATTATACAAGAACAGCTTATTTTGCCTCTACGCGACATAGATAATTTTATAATTAAAATTACCGTGAAAACAATAATAATTCTAGATTACACAGTTGCTTTTAATTACTGCAGTTGTTAATACTGCATTTATAGTATATCACGCTAAATTTTACCATAAAGCATAATAAAATTTATGACTTTATAATCTTGAGTGAAACGTAAATTTTTAGAGTTGTTACAAATATAAGCTTCAAATTAGTTTATATTGGAGTAAAAAAAATTTAGAGATTAGGCTGTAAGAGCTCAATTATGAATTATAAAAAACATTTATTAGAAAGCAAATTCATATTATTTAACAAAAACAACAAACAAATAAACAAACAAACATACAAACAAGCAAACAAACGAATAAAAATGAAGCGAAGGAATATATATTTATATAATAATAATAATAATCATCGATACGTACATTGATCTTAATAAATAAGTTCATGACTTTCTTATAAGAATACAGTTTTTTTTTTTATCAACAAGTAGATAAAAAGATTGATTCGTACGCAGACAGTTTACCTACACAGGTTAAATTATCTAGATAGTAACTATAAATACAAATGAATTAAGTGCTTTATCTTGACAAATCGCTGATTATTGAAATAAAAATATCGCAGGCCATTTATAAAAGCTTCTTTCAAAAGTTACACATTATTTGTAATTTCAATTATAACAAAAAAAAAAAAAAAAAAAAAAAAAAAAAAAAAAAAAAAAAAAAAAAAAAAAATACAGGACATTAGTAATATTAATAAAATTATAATATTTAAATATTAGATAATTCTCAACGTTCTATACAATCTCGACTTATTCATAAAGCCTACAAATTTAGATAGCATATATGAATAAGAACAGTGTGTAATCGCACAAGACTATTTTTAATTAATGTTCAAGTGGTAAAATTTTCATTCATAAAAAATTTCTATTAAATAATGTGTATTATTATTTATTTATATAATCTGTTTCAATCAATGGTGACAAATATAATTCGCTTATTAATATTAATATAATTTCGAGGAGGCGTAATAAATAAAAGTCGCATAAAGTCTTTATAACTGATAATGATAAATAATTATAGGCGACGATGTACGCACATGCATCACGTAATCCATCACGTTGCATGAAAATTTTTCCAGTCAAACAAAAGCACGAAACGTTGTCTGTCTTATAGCGAAAAATGTTTACCGGACGCAGCGTTTAAACTTTAGGCGTCATCATTAATATCTTCCAAATGCATATAATGGTCCACATTTATTATCGATACGGTAATTTTATCGTAACATTCTGTTGGTCTTTTTAAAGAAATCGTATCAGCGCATAGACACATGTGGATATGAAATTCACTACAGGCGCTTTGTGTGCGAATGACGGAATGAGGGAGGAGGAGGGGCCGATTATGCATACATGAATTGCGCGGCGAATAAAAGCGTTGATTTAACACGGAAGGTGGTTGTATTTTCAAACTTTACACGGTCACGAGGTATAGAGCAGATGTGCACGTTTACGCTTTAATGTACACATGTTTGCACCATTACTTTGAATATGATCTTTAGCGTATATTTAATCATTTTCGCGTTTAAAATTGGAAATGCATTTAAAAGAACGATCGCGTACAGTGGATTTACATTAGGAGCAAGTGAAATTGTACGCTGTTGTTAGTTGTTTGTTTGTTTGTTTTTATATATATATATATATATATATGTGTGTGTGTGTGTGTGTGTGTGTGTGTGTGTTTGCGCGCGCTCGTATTTATTTATTGTATACAGCGAGTAATGAATCCGACATTAATGAAAATACAGAATGACAGAAACTTATGGATGCGTAAGAGTGATTATTAAACAAATGACGGTAGTCGTCGGGTGGAAAAAAACCACTTTCCAAGCGCGTTAAATCGTATTCTTAAACTATGGTACTCGCGGATTGTCATCTCCTCGTTTCATCATACACGCCTCGAAGTAAGAATACGAAGAGTCTAGAGTAGCGATTACAATGATAATTCGAAGAGGGAGAAGCTCGAGTGTCGCGCTGGCACTTTTTAATCCCGAGCGAACGGTTCACCTCGCCCGAGTGTCGTTGTTTCAATTCTGAAAACTCAGAGTCGTCGAAGTAAGGGGCTGGCGCTGGCCATTCCCGAGACGAACATACGAGAGCGATCGTCTCCGACGGCACCAAGACACGACGTCTCCGACGGCGCGGACGAGCTCGGGCTTTGTATATATAGCCGCGCCATGTGAACTCTGACGTCAGAGCGGGGCTCTTCTCGGGTGCGCGCGCGCGCCTATTTCCGTCTGCCTACATTCCGGGCATCGAGAGCCTGCCGCAGTCGAGACGACCTTAACTCCGGGCCGTCGTTGTCGTCGCCGCAGTCGCCAGCACTGACACCACCACTAGCGGTAGAAGCAGCAACAGCAACAGCACCATCATCAGCACCATCACCAGCACCATCACCAGCACCAGCACCAGCACCAGCACCAGCACCAGCACCAGCACCAGCACCAGCACCAGCACCAGCACCAGTGGCAGCATTAGCAACAATCCAACTACCACCGCTGCCCCCGCCGTCCCCCAGTCGCGGATGGCGAGGATCGCAGCGGTGGGGCGATCGTCCGTCCAATTCAGTCATCGCGAAAAATGTCTCCGGGCCGCGCGAATGCTCGGGAAATTGCGGCACGTCGAACTTTTGTCGACGACGGCATTGAAATTTCAGCCATCGGCTGAGCGCCTTTTTGTCCGCGGTGTTAGGGGCAGCCGAGGGAGGGAGGGAGAGAGGGAGGAGGGGGGGAGAGGACTTCCACGTAATTATTACCGGAGATTAAGACTGAAACTTACCCCGCTAGCGCGACCGACACGCCAGATTATGGCGTTTATTATTACTGGCGATAAAGATAGATTAACCAAACTGCAGCTCGCGTGAATTCAGCTTTGTCACGGACTCCTGGCCGCGTAATATTTTAACCCAACCGCGATCCCATCGATCCTCCACTCTCCAAGGATTTTTTCAATTGTTGTGTGGATCTCACGAGGCATAAGGCGTCCGCCCAATATCGCCCACCCACTGTCCCACTCTTTGTTTAGAGTTTTGCTTCGCTTATCAGTCGACTATTCATTCTCAATTTGACTTTATGTCCGATTCTGTCTTCAAAAAGTCAAAAAGTCATCTTTCCGTACATAATACTCACTTCGAATTTCAGAGGGACATTTAGAAAGTTTGCAACGGTTTGACAATTTTCTGAAGCTAAAGTTTTTTTAAAAATTTATCGACATCCAAGTAACAATGATCAGCTTTTCTAAATCTTCCTATTTATTTAAACCCCCTCCCCCCTCCCCCCTCACGCCAACTTCCTTCTGTTTATTATTTTTCGCTAAAGTTGCCTATTCATACATAACTATATATAAAAACAAAATAGAAAAATAATTAAATAAATAAATAAATAAACATTAAAATAGGATGAACGAAGATGAGATATTAATTCGAATGGAAACTCAAAAGCCACGAATCCCTAATATTTATTATATTCGTGCGTCGACGACTCCAACGTATGGAACATTTTACTAATGGCAAATTTTTTATTTCCGCGCGCGTTTCCATGTGCGTCGTTGGTGAATGCCTAAGATCCAAATGTCAAATGAGGGAAAATGGTAAAAGTAGGGAGTAAAATAAGATGTATCGTAAAATAGGATATTAGCCGCGGAAGATAAAAAATTTGCAATTAACGCGGCGATGTTGAATTTCGTGCTTAAAGTCGGAACAACGTCGTTGCGCGCCGCAGCTGTAAATTGTCCCAATCCCTCCTTCGACGAACATGACGCCTTACGGATAATCGATTATCGGCCAAATCAAAATGTTTATTATCCAAAAGCCCTTAAATTCCTCCCGTAAGCGACTACTCGAGCCGTTCAGTTCAACGGGGAATCGCTGTTTTATCGACCGAGCACGTCGGGCCCGTCCTTGAGACAGTCGACCGACCGACCGACCGACCGACCGACAGAACGACAGATTCGCTTCAACCGATCCAACCCAACTACCAGTTACACGAATCCTCGTACCCCGTAGTCGGCGATGACGCTAGTTAGCGCATGGCGCACCCGCACCTCGACGCAAACAAACGTAATCTCTTTTAATTGCAGTCACCTGACGAGGACCACGACCTGGGAGGACCCGCGCAAGACGGCCGCGGCGGCGAGCGTCGCTGCGGTCGCCGCTGCTGTGGAGAGCGGCAAGACGAGTACAGCGGCCGCGGGCAGCAACGCCCTGGGCCCCCTACCCGACGGCTGGGAGCAAGCGAGGACGCCCGAGGGCGAGATCTACTTTATCAACCACCAGGCGCGCACCACGTCCTGGTTCGACCCGCGAATCCGTAAGGGATTTTTATCCATCCGCACCTTTCACTCGTCGCGATCCGTGCGCGACGCGACGCCCGCCACTGACCGCCACCTTTAGTCCACGCCACCCGGGAGAGACAGGACTTTATCTCCTGCGTGCGTCGATTCGCGCATTGCCGGCGCGCGCTCGGAATTGCGCTCGGGCGACGATTTTTATTTGTCTCGGTCGGGCTCTCGCATTTTTCCCATCGCGCTTAATCTCCTCGTTCGAAAAATTTTCTCTGGTTACGCGCCGATCCGTTCCTCGTGTACGCTCGTACAATGACAGAGGGCGACGCGGCGTGACCGACCGCGGCAGGAAAGGCAATGCGCTTTCCGAGCCGAACGTCAAGCGACTTTGGATTGTCCATTGTACGCGCGGACACGTGGCTGTAAATCAATTTCTCTTTCCCGGACGCGTACAGAGTCGTATTAATTATGCAGCGGCCAAGCGAGCGCGCAGCGTTTATTAGAAATTAAAATTGCTTGGGAGCGAGCAAAGTCGAGCCGATAAGATAGGGATTAATGTGTCGATAGGCAATTGTGTTTGGAATATGGTATTTGGCTTATCGAGAATAAAATGGCTGGCCGAGAAGTTATTTAAATGAGCCGTGGCAAACGATTCCGTAACGAAGTTTGTCAGATTGATTTGAGACGGAGGCCGAGAGCCGCGCTCCCGTTACCTTTCCCAATAAGCAAATCGCCGGATCGAGAAGAAATCCGGTATGGTGTCCTTAATTGGCATAATGCGCCCTTTATTAATGGCCGACGTATCCGAGCCGAGACGTTGCCGAGTCCCGGACGTATAGTTTCATTTTGGAGGGACAACTGTATCGGCCGGTAATGCAGGCCGTGCTAAGGTTTTAGCTGACGTTGACCTTGCTTTCCTCGAAAGACGAAAGCAATGAGGGAGGCAAAAATTCGAAAACATTACGTTTCTAATCCTTTACTAGTCGAAAGCCCGTAATTTTCAATGTCCATTATCTTTATCTCGCGCGCGCTCTCCATCTCGTCGATATAGCTTTAGAATAAGTTGGCGATGTAGTTGGTCCCGCGCATCCCCACGGTCATTCTAATCGCGATCCTAATACCGAGTCTTCGAAATTTATAGCCACGCATCTTCAGAGAGCCCCAACCTCCGGCGCCATGTTACCGCAAAATTGGCAAATTCAGCAGCAGGCCGGTGGCGGCCTTCAAAGTAGTCAAACGCTCCAGGCCTGTCAACAAAAATTACGCCTTCAATCGCTGCAGATGGAACGCGAGCGCTTGAAGCAGAGGCAGCAAGAGATCATGCGACAGGTCAGTTCGGTAAATATCCCTACGATTCAATTACCTCTACGCGTCCAAAAGGCCCATTACTTGACTTCGTTGGAGATTAACTAAGTCCGAGTGCGCGGCGAGATTCTTTAATGCGATACCTTCTTCGGCCTGGCAGACGTGACTCGCCCGAAACACGCTCCCAGGCAAAGATACGTAAGCCGCACATAATGCCGGCAATGCGACTCGCATCACGGCCCTCAATGCTATTATTACCAATAACGATAACGGTATTCCGAAAAATCTCGAATTCAGATAGTCTCTTGCGTATTGAATGTATGTAAGAGAGCGGGCCTCGTCGGAATCGCGTGCGAGATATCATTGTATCCGGCAACTTTGTTTTCTGCCCTCGCAGCAAGAATTAATGCTCCGACAGAGTACCACAGACGCTGCAATGGATCCATTTTTATCAGGAATCAACGAACAACACGCTAGACAAGAGAGCGCGGACAGCGGCTTGGGCTTGGGCTCCGCTTATTCCCTACCTCACACGCCCGAAGACTTCTTAGCCAACATCGATGATAATATGGACGGCACAAGTGGTCAGTATTTATTCGATTACTAAACGCATACTAGCGGAGAAAGGAAATTTTTGAGCGCGTATTGATTAAAAATTTTGTATAGAAGGTGCTCCAATGGAAACGCCAGATTTATCAACATTAAGCGATAACATCGATTCGACTGATGATCTCGTGCCTTCTTTACAGGTATCCATATCATTTATAACGCCAATTTTTAATTTTCACGTTATCATTTAGAGCTAATGGCTTAGCTGTGCAATTTACGAATACTCGTTACAAAAAATCAAATGCAAAGTCTTTTTTTTGTCCTCGCCTTCTGTTGAATATCATGCTCCATTGAACAGTGTAGTAAAGTCAAAATGATGTAATTGTTACGTTACGTGGAGGTCTCTGGTGTTTAGGCCACTCGTAGCGCTAATATATTAAATAAATCGCTTGCCATTATCCCGTCAAATGCTATCCGATCCTGCTATCTCGTACATTCGCTCGATTACTATTTTATAAATTCATTTTTTCTTCGTTTTTTTTTTTTCGTTTTCTCTCTCTCTCTCTCTCTCTCTCGCTTTTTTTTTTTTTTTTTTTAAAAATATCTCGCTTCGCTTTTTTTTTTCCGTTTTTTAAACATTAGTGTGCGCGCGCGCGCGCGCGTACGAGTGTACGTGTAATTTCCGTAAGCAATAATTCCTATTGTATTCTATGTTTTTATAAATCTATCATTTTCGTCCATTGTTTTTGCATTATCCATACATTAGTAAGCATACATCATAGATCGAAGAGATGAAAGAATTTTCTTATCCAATCGATAAGTGGACTGACTGACTGACCATATTTATCTATTTATATTTTTATCTATTATATATTTAACTATATTATTAGCTATAATTATCGACGTGTCAAGAGTCTTTTTAAGGAATTACCTAAGAATTTCGCGTACTAATCATTCGCCGTAATTTGTAAGTTAAAAATTATTCTAATACTGACCATTGTTCCTTTTAGCTTGGTGAGGATTTCAGCAGCGACATCCTAGAAGATGTCCAGTCATTGATCAATCCTGTTGGTAATACCACAAAGCCAGAAAATATTCTTACATGGTTGTAGTATCCTTAGCAATACCAGATTCGAGAATGTCCGTCATTGATCCGCCGAACGACAGCTCGAAAGATTTATCGAAAGGACTCTACACTCAGTGAGAGACAGTCAATACTCCTTATGGGACATAAGTGCATAAGAACTCATCGAATATTTAGAGCCTACAAAGTCCGTATACACATTTTTAGTTGTTATAGTATACGTGTGCGTATATGAATCAAACTTTGTGTAAATAGCTCCTCCCGTAACGGCCAATGATGTGCAAAATTGAATCGGGAACAAAAATTCTAACTTCAGCAATACAACTACTTTAAGTGCATAAATCATAGGTCTAAAAAAAGAAAGAAAGAAGAAGCAAAAAAGAAAAAAAAAGTGGCCAAAGTAGATACTGGCGAGATTAAATGACGTTCCTGTCCGTGCCTACGAAGCTCATAGATTTCATTTCAATCATCGCATTTGCGTAAGCTCTGGTATCATGACGTATCAGATTCATGGGGATTTTAAGTATTTACAACATTCGACATCATTTTTTTTTTTTTTATTTTTTTTTATTTTTTATTTTTTGTTTAATTTTTAAAGAGACGGCTCAAAATCGAGCTTTCATAAATAATTTTACTTTAATCGAAATCGAAAGTTTATATTTTAATGATTTTACGTTTGACGAAAGGGCAGTAACGTCGAGAAACTAAGCATTTTTTAGCAATACAGGAAGGTTCGATTTAGTGTTTTAAAAGGGGGCGAATTACGTATCAAATCGCGAAACAAGATAAAATAATAACGCCTGTCGTAGCCTTAACATGATATTTGTAAGTTAACCAAGTGCCTTGACCTTGCAATCAATTATACAAAACCCGGCGACAGGGATTTGTCGCATTTTAAGGGTAATAACCGTCCATATAAATTTGTTTATGCGAACAATTAGCAATTGTTGAGAAGCGTATATCATGTTTTTTAGGTAAACTTTTAAATATTTCAAGATTAAGCAAGTGCGAAAGCAAAATGAAAGTATATATATATATTTTTTTTATATATAAAGTCTATACTTGTTACGGATTACCAGTTATTGGAACGCAGATAAAAAAGAAAAAGACGAAAAAGCAACGTGAAAATTTGTTAGATTGTAAAAGTCCCTTATGTCTTATATAATGCAATTAAGCAGCTATACACGCACGAGCGCGCGCGCGCGCTCGTGTGTGTGTGTGTGTGTGTGTGTGTGTCACGAGAGTTATTAAGAAAAAGAAATTATATCATATTTACAGAAGAATATGTCGAAATATTTTTAGCTTTAAGGGCCACCTGAGCCTGTCTCCTATTTTACGAAAATGTGAAAGAGGAAGACAGATCGATTTAATGTACTTCCTTTTCTTTATTTTTGTTGATTAAGAAACACAATGTATTAATTTCATGTATCGACTGCTCGTTTCTCTCACTCTCCCACTCACTTCTTTCTCTCTTTCTCCCTCTCTCTCTCTCTCTCTCTCTCTCTCTCTCTCTCTCTCTCTATCTATCTATCCCACTCTCTCTCTCTCTCTTTCTCTCCCACTCTCTCCCACTCTCTCTCTCTCTCTTTCTCTCCCACTCTCTCCCACTCTCTCCCACTCTCTCCCACTCTCTCTCTCTCTTTCATACATTGAATAATGTCGGTAAATTTGATATTACACCTTTACATGTAATTAAGTTTATGACAGCTTAGCATATATTCGCACGATCTCGAAAGAGAACGACACTAAAGCGTCGATGTTTTCTTTATGAATGAATTTTAGAAAGTGCTCATAGAAGACTGGCATATTTTTTACCGCTTGTGTGAAAACCTCGAACGCCTTTAAAATTTGCACGTGTCATTCTCTCGGATCATTGGAGAATTAATTGAAACTAAACCTTGAAGGTATTGTTGTAACGAAGTATATGCGATGTTCTTGATACTGATAAGGAGATATAGTGTGTTCGAATATCTATATAAATGTTCTTCCGTTCTTGCCCACGTTACGGAAAAGTCGGGGAAACAGTGAAGCGAACGACGAAAGTTAAGCAACATTAACAAGTTTTTATCGATGATTTATTCTTTTCTTAAGTGTTTGAGCGTCGAATGCCTCAAAAAAGAATGATGTAAATGTTGTCAACTGTGCGACAACTGCCTTTTGTACTGTGCTTTATGAATAAGTGTGTGCATTAAGAAATGAATGAAATCGCTTGCGGCCGATTTCTTTGCAATAATGAATAAGCGCGAGTCGATTGCCTGGCGCTTCTCCTGAAAATTATCGACTGAACTTTGAATCCGTCGTGTGAGCGAGGCCATTAATATGTAGTGATTGTACGTAATTGAAAATTCGGGAGCGTTCGTTATCATAATTATCATTATTATCATCATCATCATCATTATTATTATTATTATTATTATTATTATTATTATTATTATTATTATTATCAATATGATTATTATCAATATGATTATTATTATTAATAATATGATTATTATTATTATTATTATTATTATTATTATTATTATTATTACGACACCAAAACGGCACGATCAAAATCATTTTTCAGAATCACCCTTTCAATTTAGCGAATTGAACTAACATTTAACTCATTCCTTTATACAGAAAAGTTTTCTACGCTACGGGTGCTTTTGTAAAAAGTGGACGATTGTTTATGATAATCTTTTATAATTAGCTTTTATCGAGCTTCGATCGTACGAATACTTTTCTCTATAAAAACAATGCGTCACTTTAACGAATAATTATTCTACGGTATCAAATATCGGCTGCAGCTATCAATTGAAATAGTCAAGAAAGCGAGATTGAAACCGAAGACACGAACATTATTTTAATATATATAATTCTCGTCTGTTTTATTAGTTTATCTAGAATTAAGAAATATCTATCTGTAAGAGCGACTCGTACGACGGATTAGATTTTCGATTACTTTCAGGAGATCATTATTTTTACGAACTCGTATTATATATGATTTCATCCATTTTTTTTTTTTCTCTTAGTCGGTAATGATAATTTTTGATTGTAATAGCCTTTTGCTTAGAATCTAAACCGAACACTTAGATTTCATCGAGGGAAGCTTTGTATTTTTTTTTTCGTCCAGTCAGCGATGATGGTGGTTAATTTGTGTAATGAATTTTGTCATAATTTTTGTGTCTCGCGAATTCTTACCAATCATTTGATACATTTAAAAAAAAAAAAAAAAAAAAAAAAAAAAAAAAAAAAACAAAAAGAAAACACGCAAACAGCAGATACGTACGTTTTTTAATCATTATCGTGACCTTGTTTTCAGGTGCATATGCGGGGGTCAAGATGCTCTTTGTATTACCGCGAGATTACAAAGAAAACGCAATCGATTGTTTTTACTTTTTTTAATTTTTTTTTAATTTTTTTTTTTTTTTTTTTTTTTTTTTTTTTTTTTTTTTATTATCAGTATTTAAATATGCTCATTGGCAATCATTTGTGACGTACATTTTTATATCGGTAACAAGTGCCTTAGCAATAACTGTAATGGTAAATATATTGTTTACTTACTCATAAATAATGTAGTAAATTTATTTTTCACCTTTACCAAGTCAATATTACTTTATCCCTTCATCATACAAGTATTGCAGTTTATAATTTTTTGTCATTAAAGTTATTCTGCAGTTGTGGTGCATTATAATATTAATGATTATTGTTGTTGTTGTTGTTGTTATTATTATTATTATTATTATTATTATTATTTTAATTAAATAAGTTATTAATTATGTATGAGTATTTGTATTCAAGCGTTAATTGTATAATATTAATTACATCGAATCTCTTAAGTAAGAGTCGCAGAAAGTTTGAGCATTAATATTACTAATGTATTATTATCGCGAAAATTTTCTTATAATATTTATTGTTTATGATAATAGTAGGTAAATGTTTGAATTTATTTATTTATTTTTTTTTTTTCTATTGAAAACCAACTGTTGTATAATTATAATATTATATTATTATAATATTAAATATTATGAATATATATCGTAGTTCTGTTCTTTATTATTTTTATCTATTTATGTTAAAATGAACTCGGATATAAAAACGTATTATCTGGCTTATAAATACATAATAAAGAATATAAATCTGTTGGAAGTTGATCACAATGGTACTTTGTTTAGGTATTATCTTTTTTTATATTGCAGTTATGTAAATTTCACGTATAGTATAATATAAAAGTTATATGATAATGATCGATAGTACGCACAAGCTGCACACTAATGTAAGTGAAGAATTGATTAAATTTGATAGTTAACAATCTGTATCCAATGAAAAATCTTATATCCTTACTATGCTGCTCATATAATATTCAAGTGATGAAGATTTAATTTAAATTTAATACATCCGTTGTAATTTATAAAAAATTTTTATAAATTCCTTCAAAATTAATAATGAAAAAATTTTGAATAATTCACAAACGTACAAGACATTTTACTCATTACAATAGGAATATATAATACAAGATCTAAGGTGCAGAGTATACCAGAACAATTCCCTTAATACTTGAAAATAAATATAATTATATATTAATATTGAATTAGCTGAAATATGAATTACATGTATGTATATATTTTCTAATTGAAATTATTACAATAATTAATATTAGAAAGCAATTCACTATAAATGATTTTAACATATTACAAAATTAATGAGTAATGGAGATTTAATAAACTTTTACATTAAGAAATGATATTTTTCTGAATTCAAACCAATTACATCGTGCAATCGATAAAATCGATGTATGAAGGACTAAACACCACACACTTAAAAAACAGAATTGTATTGTATTAAAAATATCTAATATATGCAGGATATTTATTTATTTTCTCTCTCTCTCTCTCTCTCTCTCTCTCTCTCTTACACTCTCTTACACCCTCTCTTTACTCATCTTCCCTTGCCTGAACACGCACAAGATATTAATATGGGGAAATGGATTATAGAAATTTGAAAGACAAAAGCCAATGCCTGTAAGAGAAAAAACAAATTTTATTGTCGAAATAATAATAATAATAATACTACACATAATATTGAATGTGTAGCTATTGTATATAAATAACCGCAAATATTAGCTTCTATAACCTTAATCGTCTTTATATTACTTACATTTATATCTAAACAATAAAAATTGAATTAAATTATAATCAATAAATTTATGACACTTGGTAAAATTACAGTTAAAATTACAGTTTAATTGCCCCAAGTTGACTACTTCCGGCTCGATTAAGCTCACGTATTAATCGCCACGTAAATCTGTTACTACAAAAATTACGTACTGTTTATTAATGTTACTAATCTATTCAAATGAATCTCGTTTTAATAAGCGACTTTTATGGTGCTTTATTCGCCC